ATTAACATAATAATACAGTTCATAAAAGAACAAATTCAATCACAGAATATGTTAGCCTAAGATGTTAAATATATCTTATATGATTGAATTTTTTTATGAATTACGTTATTATGTTAATGAAAATATATCATTCCATTTAAAAAAAATTGATAATGATCTCGAAATGACCCAGTTACGAGAAATATTTTGTATATTGATTAGAGGTATTTAATATAATATTAAAATAATTAATTATAAATTGCATTTTTATCTTTTGCAGGATGTAGCAGAAAAATGTAAATCGCTAGGTATTACAGCACTGCACATCAAATTAAGAGCTACAGGAGGCAATAAAACAAAAACTCCTGGACCAGGTGCGCAATCTGCTCTGCGTGCTTTAGCTCGTTCCAGCATGAAAATTGGTCGTATTGAAGATGTCACTCCTATTCCATCGGATTCCACTCGCAGGAAGGGAGGTCGTCGTGGACGTAGGCTATAAACTATTCTTATTCTATGTTCTTTATTATCTTTCAATAAATGTTTAAAAGAAAAAAAGACATTGTGTTTCTTGTGAAATACTGCACAATTTTTTTTTTTATACAGATTATTTCTATAAAACTATGCTTTATATACTTATTACAATATCCTTATGAAACAATTTCGCGTGATAACGAATATATGAAAATATTCTTAATGTAAGAATCGATTTTTTTAATTATATAATATAGAACAATATGATTAATGATAAATTTTGAAAAAGTATATAAAATTTGTATGTATATGGATTAACAACTTGCATCAACAACAACTCATACGCTTTATGTTTTTAGTGTCGATAAATATACTATAAGATAATACATTGAATTATAAATATTTAAACGTCCTTAATATTATAATTTCATGAGTTATTATATAAGCGAAAAATTATAAAGCATTCATGTATTCTGTATCTCTGTAATCATCCCAAATTGAAACAAATTATACTTCACGAATTAATTGACCAACATTAAGATATAACTTCACTTTTACATCTACATTTTGTGATGATTTATGTTCCAATGCTGCAATGATATTTACGTATCCATGTTGCATGACAAATCCAATTGTAATTGGATTTTCATTATTTTTGTTAGCATCGTGCGGAATTACGTATAAACATATTACAGCTTTGTTCCCTTTACGCCATACTACAAGCCTAAAAAATTTGCATAAACAATAAAATCTATATTATCTATGTATTAATTTTACGTAACATGTACACTTATATTCTACATACTTTGGATCATCTTGAAAATTATGATTATCACTTGTATCATCATATTCAGCAGCATCATCTCTTGGTGGAAGTATAAATGAGCTGTGGGGCAGCATCAAATCTGCATTTGGTATAATTTTTATTGGTTTAGGATCTTCTATCACAGGTGCTTGCCGTACAGCAGATGGCAGCAAATTTGGAGATTCACTTCCCTATAATTATAATCAAAATATTAAAATGTTAATGTTTCATAAAATGTTTTATAAAAAATGTTATAATATTCGATATATTACTTGTGTATCCTCCTGTTTAGCGTCTTTTTCTTCAATCAATGAAGTAGATAACGAAGCATTTAAATGCAGAATAGTTATTTGAGTCTGATGCTGCGTTGGATTGCAGAATTTAAGAAGCAATTCATTTGATTTCCCTGGTCGAAGTGGTTCACGAGTAACGATCTTTACTTCTGGAATATGATAACTAAAAGACAAAAAACAATTTTGATTTTCATAAAGCTTCATAAGCACAAATATAAGTCAAGATTAAGTCTTAAATTAATCAATGATTGATATTTTAATGTAATACTTACAATGCAGCTAAAAAAATCTTGAATTTTGTAGATTGGGGGCAGAGATCCGATTTGCTAACATTATGTTCACACACTCTGCAACGTTGTGATCGTTTGACCAAAAACTCTGTGCTGAGGGCGTAATTCGTTTATCTTCTCAGTTTGCACCTCTGGATGCTGTAATCTTTGTTCCAACGTAGTAACTGTTACACAAAATTATTTATAATATATTAATAATATATTTATAATAAAATATATAATTATATATATGTCGATTTGTATCAAAATCTATGCTACATGCTTAATAGCTTTCTTACTTTTAGTTATATCTACAGATTCTGCAAATATATCTCCCAGTAATTCCTCTATTTCCTCGCTTGCAACAGATGGTACTGGTTGAGCAGACGATTGAGATTGCATTGGTGGTTTTATGGGACGTATACCGATACGCTTGCGAATTAGTGCTAATGTAAAACTTGTCACATTGTCTTGTTACATTGTCTGCTATTGGCAAGTCAAAAGTAATTAGAAAATAATTCGAAAAACATCTTAGAGCAAATAAATAATTAGTTCTTACTGAACTTACAGCTGGCATAAAAGAACGTTTTGGATGAAATTTCTTTCTTTCACACTGTTGTTTCTCTATAGAAGTCAATATCTTATGATAATCAATAAGAGCATTAATACGTTACATGTGGATTTTCCTGCTCGGGCCATCCTCCAGTTACTATGAGCACAAATTCAAGAGATATTTTTTAGAAAAATATTTTAAAATTGTTATTTATATTTTTATTACCAATGATAATTTTCTTACCTATGGATTGATCAGGTATTCCTGCATCTCGAGAACTCCATCGGTATAATGAACAGAATAAATAATATACTTTTTTGGGAGTAGCTTTAACATCCTTGTTTTCTTCACCTTCAGCCACAGTTGCTGCTGTTCTCACTGGTGCTAATCCTGCTCTTGTACATAATGTTTGAAAGCAACAAGGACAGTCGAAACAATTGGAGCATCTATAAATATGTTATTATTACTATCATCATAATTTCATCTTTAGAATAAGAAGTAATTAATTCTAATACATTGTAAACATACTTGTTCTTTTTAAGACGCACTTCTGATGAATGCAAATTCTCCATACAATTAGTAATGGGAGTCGACTTGAACATAAAAGACGTCTTTCAGAAACATAAGAACTTTGCACACATATTAAAATACTTCGAGAGCAAATTCAATAATCAAGTATAGTCCCAACTAAATCCTTTTAATCCAATTGAACTCTAGATTTACTCATTCACTTTAAAAAACGCACCTCCTGACAAACACAGTAGCCGCATCGTATCATCAGGCAATGTCGACAAAAATATATCTTTGATATAGCTTTTAAAGAACCGCAGTTGCATAAATAGCGTACATAATCTGGTTGATTTAAGTACATACTGAAATGAATGAATTTTATGTCATACTGAAATGAATGAATTTTAAAATCTGTGAACTATGAAAATTTTAGTAGCTACGAATATTCATCTTGGTTTTAATCTCAATAAGAAGAGAGGTTTGTTTTCATAATTTTTCAACAATGCTGTTACAAGTAAGAGAAAGACGTTAGATTGAAAATCGATATCACAATGAACATGATAATTTTTCTTGACAAGAGGACAATCGGATGATAGTTTTATTACATTGGAAGAAATACTGAAGTATGGCCAGGATAATGAAGTCGACTTCATTTTGCTGGGTGGCGATTTGTTTCATGATACTAAACCAACGCAAGCCACAGATACTCAGATGTGTTGAATTGTTGCGAAAATATTGCCTAGGTTCCAAGTGAGTTATATTTAAATTGGCATTAAACTAAACTAATGTAACAGTTAATATAAAAGTAATATGATAAAAGGATATAAGATTCCAGATATAATGAACAAGAAACAAGAAAATAGAGATAACAAGTTAAATTATAAACAAGAGAAAACAAATTAATACATAAAAATCCATAATTTACAATTAAGAAATATTAAGGAATATACTCTTTCATTGATTGAAGATAATTTTCTGTTTTTAACTTTTTATATTCTTATATATTCTCATTTGTAGTGTTTGGATACAAAATAATTTTTTTAATTATATTTTTAGAGAATGCAAACTACAATTCTTAAGTGACTCAGATGTGATATTCCGACACTGCACACAAAAGCATGAATTATGAAGATCCTAATTTAAATGTTTCAATCCCAGTATTTATCATCCATGGGAATCATGATGATCCAAGTATAAACTTTTTTCTTATTAAGTTTCTAATTATACCTTATATCAAATTATATTTTATTTGTTATCTGTTAGGTTTTGGTACCGTTGGATCAATGGATGTACTGTCAGCTATTGGATTTGTGAATTACTTTGGCAAATGGACAGATCTTACTCGCCATTGTTGTCTCACCAATAATTTTGAAAAAAAATAATACTCATGTTGCACTTTATGGTTTGAGTTATATTAATGATCAAAGATTATCCAGACTACAGAGATGAGAAGGTATATCTGTTTCATGAATATTTTCATATTTGATTACAGTGATTAACAATAATTTTTGAAAATAAGTAGATTTATTATGCCTGAAAGATATTGATACTTTCAACATATTTGTTCTACATCAAAATCGCGTCAAGCATGGCGATTATGTTTATATTCCAGAAAAAGATTGCATAAATTTCTTAATTTAGTTATTTGGGGTCACGAGCATGAATGTCGTATTGATGCTGAGTTAAATGAAGGTGGATACTATATTTCCCAACCAGGTAAAACTATGTTTCTTCTGAAATTTACATATAGATAATATAAATGTTAACTTCTCCAGTTAATTTCTCAATAATTATAAAATTTTAGGAAGTTCTATTGCTACTTCTTTATGTGAAGGTGAATCGAAACCTAAACATGTAGGTCTCCTTAAAATCTCCTTAAAATTAATAAGAGCCATTTCAAAATGAAGCCTTTAAAGTTGAAAAGTGTTCGGCCATATATTTTTGATAACATGATTCTTCAAGATCGTGACATTAAAATAGAGAATTGTGTCTCTAATAGTAGATTCTATATGTCATTATGTAGATCAGTATATTGAAGATGAGTTCATGCTTCGAGTAGCTGAACAGCTCACAGGTAAATTAATCATGTTATAAACAGTTTTCTAAAAAAATTAAAATTTCTAAAAAGTATCTCTCTCTCTCTCT